TCTCCATAGGACTGTACTTTGTACCTTTGTTGTTGTTCATTCGTTCAGTCGTCTCCGACTCTTCGTGACCTCATGGACCAGCCTACGCCAGAGCTCCCTGTCGGCCGTTACCACCCCCAGCGCCCTCAAGGTCAGTCCAGTCACTTCAAGGATGCCATCCATCCATCTTGCCCTTGGTCGGCCCCTCTTCCTTTTGCCTTCCACTTTCCCCAGCATAATTGTCTTCTCTAGGCTTTCCTGTCTCCTCATGATGTGGCCAAAGTACTTCAACTTTGTCTCTAGTATCTTTCCCTCCAGTGAGCAGTCGGGCTTTATTTCCTGGAGGATGGGCTGGTTGGATCTTCTCGCAGTCCAAGGCACTCTCAGCACTTTCCTCCAACACCACAGCTCAAAAGCATCGATCTTCCTTCGCTCAGCCTTCCCTAAGGTCCAGCTCTCACATCCGTAGGTTACTACAGGGAATACCATGGCTTTGACTAGGCGGATCTTTGTTGCCAGTCTGATGTCTCTACTCTTCACTATTTTATCGAGACTGGACCTTGCTCTCCTCCCAAGAAGTAAGCGTCTTCTGATTTCCTGGCTACAGTCTGCATCTGCAGTAATCTTTGCACCTAGAAATACAAAGTCTGTCACGGCCTCCACATTTTCTCCCTCTATTTTCCAGTTGTCAATCATTCTTATTGCCATAATCTTGGTTTTTTTGATGTTTAGCTGCAACCCGGCTTTTGCGCTTTCTTCTTTCACCTTGATTAGAAGGCTCCTCAGCTCCTCCTCGCTTTCGGCCATCAGAGTGGTGTCATCTGCATATCTGAGGTTGTTACTGTTTCTTCCAGCAATTTTCACCCCAGCTTTGCATTCATCCAGCCCCGCACATCGCATGACTTTGTACCTAGCCTATGTGAATAGTTGCTCTATTAAAAGAAAGTGGAGTAAAGAAAAAAATGAAGGTCAAACTCCCTTTCCAAAGTAGAGCAAGAAGCATTAAGCTTGCCACCTAGTGTTAACATTGTTCTGAAATATGGAAAATCTATTATGTATGAATAATACTTATTATGCATAAGTAATGAAGCAGTGGGTGGAAGAGAAAAACGCCATGGCCAGGACTGAAACATCTGTGAAACTATTTCTGTGAGCTTGAGGGTGCTTTAAATTTATTTTTCTCCAGTGGAACTTAAATCTAAAGCAATACCACATTATAACTTACTTTTAAGACTGAACATAATTTCAAAAGCAGCGTGACATGTGATGTGAGGGGTTTGCGGTTGTAATAACACATATACCAAATGGCGCATTACACTGGGTGGATATAGATCTTGAATGTGAACCATGATGGGGATCATGCCTCTATTACATGCAACAGTTCTGTATAATGTTTCTTTAGCCCTTGAAATGCTCATGTAATCTCTTCATCACCACTTTTTTCTCTCAAATGGAAAACATTTCAGCATGCTTCCATTTACTGCTGTTGTGCTGAATACCAATGCCAGTGTTTTCCCCTTCCAGTACTATTTGCAGCTTGTATTTGATCACTATGACAACATGAAGCTTATTCTCAGCTGTGGGCAGACAATGACGGTATTCAGATGATCATATCTCAGCTTAATAACTTTTTGACCACAATATGTGTTCCCTTCCCTGTTTTTCCTATACATGAAATCCCTTCCCTATTCCTTTTGTGAAATATGTCATTAGCCAGGAGGTCTTCATCCAACCATAGTTTCCTGTTTCGTATGTACTGGGAACCATAATTTCCAAATGTGGATATGTTTAATTACAGGACTTCTGTTGTGAAATTTATTTATTTATTTCGTATCAAAAGCATTGCATAAATTAGTATAAAATGAACAAAAACAGAAGGAGCGCAGACGGCTAAATATCTTTTGACCAAAAATGGCCAACAGCAATGGCATTGTCTGTTTGTTGTTCATTCGTTCAGTCATTTCCGACTCTTTGTGACCTCATGGACCAGCCCACGCCAGAGCTCCCTGTCGGCCGTCACCACCCCCAGCTCCTTCAAGGTCAGTCCAGTCACTTCAAGGATGCCATCCATCCATCTTGCCCTTGGTTGGCCCCTCTTCCTTTTGCCTTCCACTTTCCCCAGCATCATTGTCTTCTCTAGGCTTTGCTGTCTCCTCATGATGTGGCCAAAGTACTTCAACTTTGTCTCTAGTATCCTTCCATCCAATGAGCAGTCGGGCTTTATTTCCTGGAGGATGGACTGGTTGGATCTTCTCGCAGTCCAAGGCACTCTCAGAACTTTCCTCCAACACCACAGCTCAAAAGCATCTCTCTTCCTTCGCTCAGCCTTCCCTAAGGTCCAGCTCTCACATCCGTAGGTTACTACAGGGAATACCATGGCTTTGACTAGGCGGATCTTTGTTGCCATTGTGATGTCTCTACTCTTTACTATTTTATCGAGATTGTCGGCATTGTCTGTAGCCTCCAACAATTCTTCCTCTGTACATGTGGCAGGGCATAGTGGACAGGCATAGAGATGTGATGGAGCGGGTGGTGCTGGAGCGGGTGGCCGCCTCCCAGCTCCAGGGTTTTCTAGATGACATCAATTACCTGGACCAGTCACAGTCTGGCTTCAGGCCTGGCCACGGCACCGAGACAGCTTTGGTCGCCTTGGTGGATGACCTCCACAGGGAGCTGGACAGGGGGAGTGTGACTCTGTTGGTTCTCTTGGACATCTCAGTGGCTTTTCGATCATGGTATCCTTCTGGGACGACTCTCTGGGATGGGTCTCGGGGGCACGGTTCTGTCGTGGCTCTGGTCCTTCCTGGAGGGTCGATCCCAGATGGTGAAGCTGGGAGACGCCTGCTCGGACCCCTGGCCTTTGACCTGTGGGGTCCCGCAAGGTTCTATTCTGTCTCCCATGCTTTTTAACATCTACATGAAACCGCTGGGAGAGGTCATCCGGAGTTTTGGAGTTGGGTGCCATCTCTATGCAGATGACACACAACTCTACTCCTCCTTTCCACCTAACTCCAAGGAAGCCCCTCGGGTGCTGGACGAGTGCCTGGACGCTGTGGCTGTCTGGATGAGGATGAAGATTAATCCCGACAAGACAGAGGTCCTCCTGGTCGATCGTAAACCAGATCAGGGTATAGGGTGGCAATCTGTGCTGGACAGGGTTACACTCCCCCTGAAGTCACAGGTCCGCAGTTTGGGTGTCCTCTTGGATTCATCGCTTACGCTTGAAGCTCAGGCGTCGGCGGTGGCCGGGAGGGCCTTTGCACAATTGCAACTCGTGCGCCAACTGCGAGCGTACCTCATAAAGGCTGATCTGGCCAGGGTGGTCCATGCCTTGGTCACCTCTAGATTGGACTACTGTAATGCACTCTATGTGGGGCTGCCCTTGAAAACGGCTCGGAAATTCCAACTGGTCCAACGGGCGGCGGCCAGGTTGTTAACTGGTGCTCCTTACAGAGAGAGATCAACCCTCCTGTTTAAGGAGCTCTATTGGCTGCCATTCATTTTCCGGTCCCAAATCAAGGTGCAGGTGCTCACCTACAAAGCCCAAAAGAGGTTCTCCATAGTACTAAATTATAATTGTAGAAAGTTGAGATGAATTGTGTACGCAGAGCTATAGATGAGAGTGTGTTTCTCTCAATATATACCTCCCCAGTTGCGGTCTGCCTCTTAACATCTCTGATAACTTGAGGAGTCTTGAGCTTATATCTTATTTTCAGTTTAGAAAGGTACAACGATTAAAAGTTGGGGAACAGTTTCACAATCGTGCTTCATAGTGTTTTCTGTGTATGTATGCAGAAGGTTACTGGCACCTGAAAATAAATGCTTTAATTTTTCCTTTATTGCCATCTTGTGGTGAGATAGAGGTGTCAAATCCAACTAATCTGTTTTATGAATGGGAGTTGATAGAATCAGATGCTGTATTTCAGCCAATACCCTCAGACATTATATTCAGCCTCCAAATTGAACCCATAAGCCCTAAATACTGATTTAAAGTGTAGAGCCTTTGCAGTTCTAAAGTGAGAAACTGGATTTAAATGCTGTGTCTCTTCTACCTGTGGCCTCCCGTTTTGAGTGGTCAGGCCTTGGATTGAGTCTCCCAACTCTGTCTCATAACTCAGTGTCAACACCTACTTTTACTTACTATCAGTGCTTATTCTGTTATGCCTGGACATCAGTGGATGTACCTCCGGCTTCAGGAAAACAAACGGAGGCCGTTGTGCTTTCTGTCTGCGATCCTACATTTTCTGCTTTGAACTGGAATATATGTCAATGTGGACTTGGATAACCCAGTTCAAAGCAGATATTGTGGGATTTTAGGGGTTACGTGGCTGTGTGGAAGGGCCCCTGTGATGCTCAAGATTGGAAAGAAGCTGCATCCGAGTAGCTTCATCCTTACCCATGACTACAGGGTTATTATCAAAATACTTGCAGGGAGCAATAGGTATTTTATTCGATATATCCTCTAAAATACTACAAACAATTTATAGTTAAGAATAGAAGTTAGACAACAGGAAGTGAGAGAAATCTACCCCTCTGAAAGGAAATTCACTCCTGAAAGAGTTATCATGGGGGAAAGTGTCTCAACTGAAGCTTTATCACCAATCTTTGTTCCCACAACAAACAATATTTTTCAAAATTCAGTTATCACTATGCAATCCAAAGCGAGCGAGTGAGAGAGAGAGAGTTACACTTAAAAATGTACTTACATATCAATTTAACTTAAGAACAAACCTACAGAACCTCTCTTGTTTGTAACTTGGAGATTACCTATATTCCTTTCAAGCTTTTTTTCAGCACTGCTGAGGCTCTGGCCAGTGGGAAAAGCCCCCCTTTTCTGTAAACATGCCTTTGGATTTAGTTCTTGGTGCATTTTCCGAGACATAATTTGCATCTTGTGATAGGTGCCTGTTTTCTGTGGTAGCTGTTGTATTCGACTTGCTCTCAGTTCTAGTAAAGCAGACTTTCTTTCTATATAAGCTGCATTGTAATCCTAACAAAATTGTCATTTTTTTTTTTTACAGAACAACTATTTGGTGTTCATGGCAGAACTCTTCTGGTGGTTTGAAGTAGTGAAGCCTTCATTTGTCCAGCCTCGAGTTGTAGTTCATCCCCAAGGTATTTGTTTGGAGGCTTCATATTATGCTAATAGGATGATGTTAAAATAGCTTTATCTCAATATATTACTTCCTGGACGGCTGTAATTATTTTTTTAATGTGGACTGCTAAAGAGAAAAATCTGAAAAGAGAAGGAATCAGAAAATAGAATAAAAGCAACCACTGGGATAATAAAATGAAGCATACAAAAGACTTTCTTAAATGCCTAAGAATTTTTTTAAAAAAATCTTCCACTTGACACTCAAAAGAGTCTATATGAGTGGGGAGGATATTCTACAGACTGGTTTCACAACTGAAAAGGCTGTGCCACTGAAATCCTTCTAGTCACCATATCTAGTTACCTTATCTGCCTAAAGACTTAACAGATAATGGAAGTAAAAACTAGTTCTTACCTGGAAGAGTATTGGTAACCTATGCAGAAGTTGTAAAATGAGTGTAGTATTTTCAGACCACCATGTTTCTATGAGTATTGTAGTTGCTGAAGGCTTGCTTGTGTCTTGGCTTTAATTTATTTTTCCACAATTTATACATTGGAAATGTTTTTATTTTAGCTGAACCCACAAAGCAAGCATCTTCCCTTTCTGCTGCAAATGCCAATAGAAGACACTATCCTGATGTTTCACGTGATTCTGAGCTGACAGCAAGGTAAATTAATTTTGTGTATACATTTATCAAGCAAGTGGTAGCTAAGAAAGCAATTGATATGTTTTTGCTTTAGTTTTCTCTCCTTAAAAAGTGCCAGGAGCATATGTGCCAAATTTGGTATTCTTTAAGCTGGTTTATATGGATCTGGTTTTTGTACATTGTGTTATAGATTTTCTACCTGATATTTTTTGCAGTTCCCATTTTCATTTTATAGAAATAGTTTTGATAGGGCTTTTAAAAGGGTCACTTCAACACACCCTGCTTTCCAAGTACC